TTCAGCAGGCTCCTGGGACATCAGGTTACTTTCTTTCAGTATGTCTCTGACCCCCTTTTCTGTCTTTCCCTCTCTTTGCCTCTTTTTCTATCTATCCTTCCATATCATGTTACACAACCCTCTGAGGGCTTTGATGTTGTTTTGAGCTCAGATGTCAAACACAAGTATGCTTTAAGTTTATGCTGGTGTTTGGGTGCGGCTTAGTGCTAGTCGATAATTGAACATTTTGCATGATCAGAACCGTTTTGTGTTTGTGTGTGTATGTGGGAGAGAGAGAGAGAGAGAGAGGGAGAGAGAGAGAGAGTTGTATTTGTTTTAAAAAAAAAGGTCTAAAAGACTTCGTACTTGAAACTACAAGTACGAAGTCAACATGTGTTGACTTAAATACATAAATGATTTATTTTGCCAAACCCTATCAGACAAACTCAACTCTGGTGTTATATTTTAATAAACAAAATATGTTTTCAACTATAGCAACTTTGTAGCAAAGTATTAATAACTAAATATTAGTTGAGCTTATTGCAACAATGTAATAACTACCATATCTGCTTTCTGTGCCACAGATCGAGACAGCGGGTCCTCGGTTTGCGACGTCTTCGACCTACGTCATTTCGTGCTTACGTCGACGTCAGCGATAAATCTATTCAGAAAGTCTTGTTCCATTATTAGCTTAAAACTATTTTACCCAGGAACTAGTTGGCGAGCAGAGCGGACAAATACGTCGTCACGAAGCGCTGTACTGTACGTGGAAGAAGGCAGTTTTGTTTACAATCGTTGGTTGTACGTTGTACGTCTTACATTGGGTTATACTACGCTTACTTTTAGGATATTGAACCTTTGCTTTCTTAGTGATCGCTGGAGAAAGTTCTGTTTTGGGGGACATCGACAGATATTACAGTACCCTGGGGGATGGATGAATAGATAGATAGACAGATGGATGGATGGATGATGGATGGATGGATGTATGGATGGATGGATAGATAGATGGATGGATGGATGTATAGATAGATAGATAGATGGATGGATAGATAGATGGATGGATAAATGGATGGATGGATGATGGATGGATAGATAGATAGATGGATGGATAGATAGATGGATGGATGGATGGATGTATGGATGGATGGATAGATAGATAGATGGATGGATAGATAGATGGATGGATGGATGGATGTATAGATAGATAGATGGATGGATAGATAGATGGATGGATAAATGGATGGATGGATGATGGATGGATGGATGGATGATGGATGGATAGATAGATAGATAGATAGATAGATAGATGGATGGATAGATAGATGGATGGATAAATGGATGGATGGATGATGGATGGATAGATAGATAGATGGATGGATGGATAGATGGATGGATGGATGTATGGATGGATGGATAGATAGATAGATGGATGGATGGATAGATAGATGGATGGATGGATAGATGGATGGATGGATGTATGGATGGATGGATAGATAGACAGAAAGATAATTCATGTACTAATTTTTTTTTTTCATTTGACATGAGATGGTAAAAATCTTCCAATGAACGAGTAACAGAGGAAAGGCATGTGACGTGTCCTAAATTTAGTTCTTATTTGTTTAACCAGTGTCCTTAGTTTTATTCTGAAATCTTTATTGAACTTGGAAACACTTTGTTCGTATTTCTTTGTCAATCATTTCTGATAACACGTAAAACAACAAATTCAGTCTTATTATTCATACATTTCAATCAATTTGGTGGCAGTTCTTAATCTTGGCCCCGTGTCTGACTGAGTTTGACACCACTGCCACAGAAGACTATGCATGTAGGCAAAAACAATAAACACAATCGTCCGCAAATGTTTGGTCACTCCGCTTTGAATGCTCTAGGCCCTCATGTAGCTTCACTGGTTGAGTTAGCACATGTTGTAATTCAATAAAGGCGGGTGGGGTCATGAGAAAGGTTCTGTCTATGGACCTGTCACTCTGATGACCCTCAACAGGGAGGGGAGGTGCAATGTTTTGTTTTTTTTTTTCAAATGAAACCCAATACTACGCCTTTAAGCTCTTCACTTATTCTCTGAAGTTTCTCCTAAATGGATCGGAGTCGGTTAAAAGGAATCGTGCTTCAATAGAAATATTGCGCTTATCAGTTCACCGATCAAGCGATAACCGTTATCCCCTTCGATAGCTCAGTTGGCAGAGCGGAGGACTGTAGTAGACATCCTATTCATCCTGGTTCAAATCTGTCTTGAAGGACTACTGCATAGCGTAGCTGTTAGCATGCGTGCCCCGGGAAGTAGAAGGCAGAGAGTCCTGGGTTCGATTCCCAGAGGAAGAACATGCTTGGTTGCTAATTCTTCTCCTGTAAGTCGCTTTGGATAAAAGGGTATGCTAAATGCAGAAAGTGCCGAATTATGTTATGTCGGTTGTTGTGTAGCCTACATAAGTATGATGTAGCATAAATCCACAGCTGTGATTAAAAGTCGTAGTTATGGGAAAGAAAGCCGGTTGTTAATGATAACAACACTGCCTCTAGATACACACAAGTAAACCATGGTGTTCAAAGGTCAGTGCTTGGTTCAATACATAACAAGTTCCCATCAGGTAATATTATTAGAAAGCATAAGATCAACCTCCATTGTTTTGCGAATACAGGGCCTCCTTTGTTTACGAAATCCTCGACCTATTAAGTCCCATATATATATATATATACATACATACATATATATATACATACATACATATATATATACATACATACATATATATATACATACATACATATATATATACATACATACATATATATATACATATATATATACATACATACATATATATATACATACATATATATATACATACATATATATATACATATATATATACATATATATATACATATATATGTATATATATATGTATGTATGTATATATATATGTATATATATATGTATGTATGTATATATATATGTATATATATATGTATATATATATGTATATATATATGTATGTATATATATATGTATGTATGTATATATATATGTATGTATATATATATGTATGTATATATATATGTATATATATATGTATGTATATATATATGTATGTATATATATATGTATATATATATGTATGTATATATATATGTATGTATGTATATATATATGTATGTATATATATATGTATATATATATACACATATATGTATATATATATACACATATATGTGTATATATATATACATATATATATACATACATACATATATATATACATACATATATATATACATACATATATATATACATACATATATATATACATATATATGTATATATATATACACATATATGTGTATATATATATACATATATGTGTATATATATATACATATATATGTATATATATATGTATGTATGTATATATATATGTATGTATGTATATATATATGTATATATATATACACATATATGTGTATATATATATACATATATGTGTATATATATATACATATATGTGTATATATATATACATATATGTGTATATATATATACATATATGTGTATATATATATACATATATATATACATACATATATATATACATATATATATACATACATATATATATACATACATATATATATACATACATACATATATATATACATATATATATACATATATATATACATATATATGTATATATATATACACATATATGTGTATATATATATACATATATGTGTATATATAATATATAAAATCACGGCACTTTCACTAACCCCATTTTTTTTTTTAAACCTAGGAACTAAATACTCCACAATAATTTACTTGCACACTTCCAGTAGATGAAATCATGAAAATGCCTTGGCTGAAATCGCTAAAACAAACCTTATAATGATGAGTAATACAACAATTCCATACTATTACCTTAAGAAAAAATAATTTATACGACTTTGATTACCTTCGTCATCCTTCGGCTGGGTTTGCGACCTATACTCAGGTGTGACTTTAAAAAAAAAAATTAAAATATATAAATATAATTTCACGTTTGATATTTTCACAGACAGCCGCTAGAGGGCACTCTAGGCTTGTGTACCAGTATCAGCAACTCCTGGACCACTAAAAATTGACATGCTCGTTATGTTCACACTGACAGCCGCTAGAGGGCACTGGTGCGACTTATACTCCAGAGCGACGAATACGGAAAATACTGTAGTTTTAATTACAGTCCTATTCTGAAGATTTACATCAGTATTATTCCATATTTACACGTTTTTTTTCCTTCCTCTACTTTATTTCTTGCATAAAGACATTTGTTTGAAATTTTGGAAATAGCTTTCACTCGGGTACAACGTTTTAAGTAAGATATGTCACACAAATCTATAATCTATTTCTTCGTTTAAGCTGGTGCACAGTACACTGTGAACAGTTTTTTGACTCCTTAAAACATTGCATTTTATTACTACCTCTGCCTTAGGACGTGTGCCCATGAAGTCGTCACCACTGGTCCTGCTATTCCTATTTGGCATCCAGGATGTATTGATAGGAGGTGGACTGGCCAAAGGTTCTGGGGCTGCCAACCACAAGACCGGACAGCAGATGGCAAATAATCAAAGCACAGCTCAGTCACAGCAATCCTCGGCGGACCGACTTTTTGAAAACCATCTCTCACAGAAGCATCAAAGGAGCAGTCACCACCGGAACAGGAAGAACCACCGTTCGACGTCACAAACCCATGACAGGAGTCTAGCCGCGAAGCACCCTGCATCTCTTGACCCTTCCATCGCAAAGGTGGATCACAAACTGTTTTTCAACCGACGTTACAAATCTTCACCTCGTGTTGTGTTCAGCGAAGTTCTACCAACGTACAATGCCCTCGAAGGTAAGGGCGACGACACTGAAGAGGTGAGGGGGCTGAGGATAAGACGTAGAGCAGGATTGCACACAATGCACCGAGGAGTGTATTCGGTGTGCGAAAGCATGAATACATGGGTAGGTAACATGACCCGAGCCACAGATATAGCTGGCAATGAGGTAACGGTGCTACCAAATGTTACAATCAACAACGTGGTCAAGAAACAGTTTTTTTTTGAGACCACCTGCCGATATACGAAGAGCGAGGGAAATTCGAAGGCAGGCTGGGTTGGTGCGGGCCTTCGCAAACCGGGCCGCAAACCAACCAACGCGGGCTGTCTTGGCATCGATAGTCGCCACTGGAACTCCTACTGCACTAACACACACATTTTTGTTAGTGCTCTGACCATCTTCAAAGAACGGACAGCCTGGCGTTTTATCCGCATCAACGCGGCTTGTGTGTGTGTCCTTAGTCGGAAGTCTTGGTCAGGACGACTGCCACACTGACTGACTACTACGCTACTAGCAACCACACACACTTTTCCTAACAGGTCACTGCACATTTGAATAGTATCGTCCTATAAACCACTAATTAACAGTTCAACAGCCTTATCTGTCTGACCTCTTGGCCCCTGACCCTACCTCAGTCCAAAGACAATCCAGTTTGTTTTAAGTTATAAAGCCAAGCAATACATATTTATAGTTTATGCAGTCAAACATATACATACACACACTTATATACATATACACACACATATATGTGTATATACAGTATATATAATCAAAGCAATATCTATTATGTTTTCTATTGTCAATGCTGTTATTTATTAAACAGTCAGGGTTTTTTTTTCACAGAAACATGGTATCTGTTTGTTTTTTTCACATGCTCACCATAACAAAAAGTGACGTTTGGGAGTGGCACTTTGGCCCAGAGGCAATGTCTCTGTCATTAGGGTGGAACCCCAGGGTTCACCTCCTGGGCAAGTTTGAATCCCGGTTAGGGCGGTTGGTACTCACCACCTGCAGGAAGGTTCAGGGGGGTTGGTGTGTGATTTGGGTGGCAACTGCTGCCCCCGCGACCTGGTAACGGATAAGTGGATGAAAATGGATGGATGGATGGACTTAATGGGATGCGATATTGATTGCTATATTGATCGATTTGTTTGCGAAATAAATACCATTGCAGATCTACAAAAATTAGCAAATGTCTTTATAATAAGGAATGCTATTGTGTTTTTATCTGTGTCAGAAAAACAGAAGCCTCTCTAACCACAGCTAAATTCTAAAAAAAAAAAGCTTCTTTTTTTAAAAAAACTTTCTAAAGCTGTGATAATCAACAGGTGGCGCACTGACCCATGACTGGATTCTAAAATACACCTCAAATAATAATGTTAGAGAAAAATGTGATTTTTATTTTATTTTATGTCCGGAAACCTTCCGGTAAGGTAACCTTGTGTAATTACAATATATGTATTTAATTAACAACAACAACAAGTACAACAACAACAATAATAATAATAATAATAACAATTATAAATAATAATAATAATAATGATAATAATAATAATAATAATGATAATAATAATAATAATGATAATAATAATAATGATAATAATAATAATAATGATAATAATAATAATGATAATAATAAACAATTGAAAAACTGTCACTTGTACATTTTACAGTTAAGCACGCGTGCAGTCCAAGTTGTGAAATGATTGTCAGTGTGTGCCAAACGCCCACAGCTTTGTGTTTCACTTTTACAGCCGCAAGGTTATCGAGCTCCAAGAATATCCCAAAAAAAATGACCAAAAATAAAACAAAATGAAAATGTATTTGACTTTTTACTCCATAATTCCATAACCTCTTCGTATCACTCTTCGTCATCACGCACTGCTGCAGCTGTCAGATTTGTTTCATTAATCCTGAACTTATCTTCCCACTGGTCTCTAGTTAATTATGAAATTGATTTTGGAGTTCTGTTGCTTCGGGCTTATACAGTTTTGTGTCCTTTCAGAATCAAAACGGAGTAAAAAAAAATCTCACTTCTTTTGAAATTCAACTTAAAAAAAAATAAAGTCGGAAGAAAAAGGAAACAATTCCCTTTTCCTAATTATAACATTTGTTAAAATTACTATACAGTAATACCTTGAGATATGAGCATAATCAGTTCCAGGACTCGAGGTGCTTGTAAATCAAATTATTTTTTCCCATAAGAAATAACAGAAAGAAAATTAATCTGTTCCAGCCCTCTAAAATCTCCCTTATTAGTGCTAATAACAATAGAAATAACATGTTTTAATTGCTATAGCGACATACACAGAAAAAAAAATCATGCTATACAAGGATCCCTGTGATATATAATAAAATGGGGTTTTTTATGTGGGTTTTCTTAACTTGGAGACAAACGATACAGTAGCGGCTAATGTTATGACTCTGTCGACAGATTCGTGCCCGCCACATGATATAAAAGGTTCACTTCTCGTTGTACTCACGGGCGCAACAACAAAGGAGGGTTTTTTTTTTATATATAAAGAATGTGAACTAGACGAAGCTTGGAGAGCGTAGTTCCCTAAAGGTGCATTACACTCTGGAAAATATTCTCCGCAACAATGGAATTCTACTGCATAGACTAGCTCAGCAGTCAGTAAACTGACAGGAGCTGTTAGCATGATTCACTGTTTTCAGTGTGGGACACACTACAGGGAATGACAATTGATTACCAACAGTTTAAATTCCTATTAATAAAACTCAACTATGATTTGATGGAGTCCTCACCACGTTAGCCAAAAGATCACGATAATATTAGATTATTCTACTAAACTGCCAATTTTTTTCATCCACATGGAGGAACAGTTTCTTTTTTAAATTTCAATAAAAAAAAAAATCACATCACGTCCCACTATTATCTAGCTCCATCTATCTCAGGGGTGTCAAACTCATTTTCACCAGGGGCCACATCAGCAATACAGTTTCCCTGAAAGGGACGGTTGTTAATGAAACACTATATAGATCAGGCGTCCACAGCCCCCGGTCCGCAAACCAGTACCAGTCCATAGGTCATTTGGTACCGGGCCACAGTGGGACACAATTTAAAAAAAATATACTTAATTTACTTAAACTCTGCTGCATGGACTTTACTAAATGCTTTTTAAGATCCCACGGGCCACACAAAACGGCTTGGCGGGCCGCATTTGGCCCCCGGGCCATGAGTTTGACATGTATGACTTATATGCTGTGTATAAATATATCACTCATATCTATCCCATATAATATAATATATTATATATGTATAGTAGCTCTTAGTGATAGTGGATGTATAAATCTGGTCGACATCTGCCGGAATTGCTTATATAGCTAACCGTTTATCCAAGTTATATATTTAATTACTCAACTATTTATACTGTTCATATATTTCAACTATTTATATACCTGTTCACATAACATCCTTAAAACTATACTAGTTCTTCTAAATTAGTACTGTGTAGTAATTGTTAACAATGGTTAACAATGGAATAAACTAGATATTTATTAGTATCTATTCCTATTTAAGAAAATATATTTTTACAAAACAAATACCTTGAAGTGTTTGTGTATTTTCTCAAAATTGGGGCAAAAGTGGGCAGGATGTAAAATGCACCCAGTTTCCGTAAAAAAAAACATAGCTATGTCCTTTTTCATGGTTCAAATTTAGAAAAAAAAATATACTAAAAATAAATACATAAAATAAATAAATACAAATACAGAGTTTGTAACAAAAACCTGAGAAGAAGTAACCAAAGCTACAAAATATAAGCTTGACCGACGTTTACAGTCTTCCATTACTACATGCAATTTCTGTAGGCAGGGCTGTCCTCAGAACTATCCACATGAACATTTAAAATAAAATAAAAATAAATGAATAAGATGCAGAGAACAGGGTGAAATGGAAAACAATTATTCGCTGTGGCAACCCCTGAAAGAAAGGGACAAGTCGAAAGAAAAAAAAAAAAGAAGAAAATCAATCAACCCAAATACCAGTAATACAAATGTCAAAATATTGCAAGTACCATTACCCCTGTCCTTTATTATTATTATTATTATTATTATATTCAATCATGGGGAAACATGCTCACTGATCAGACTTACATTTCAAAATTTCCTCTGTCAACAAATGGCTACTCACATTTCTGTTCCATTAACTCTCTCTTTTAACACCTCTGGCTGTTATGAATTAGATTCCCCAGTAGATGGCGGTGATAAACTATGTAATACATATATTTAAATATATATTTACATATATTTAATATATATATATATATTTAAATATATGTAACACATATATTTAAATCAAGCAAATTAAGATATTTTTTCTACTTACAAAAGTAGGATATGTTGATGACCCATAAAACAAATAACGTCTCTTTTCAAAACTATATTAGTCTATTGTTAGGGATGATGAAGTTGCGTGCCTCCCTTGCCATTACATTATTTCAACACAATGTAAAGTAAGTAGTTTAATTGCTCCAATTAAGGGACAAAGACAACTTGATCACACGGAGTCACTGCCCTCTTCTGGTTAGTGGTGACGTGACATGAATGGATCTGTTTATTTTACTTTATCACTATCTCCTGAGGGCCAAATAAAATGACTATGCAGAACACAGACTTTGAAAAAAAAAAATGAAACCAGAAAATATAAAATAAATGCGTGTAATTTGAAGATGCTTGCACAGTGTGTAAGAGCAGAGATCCCCCAAATGCAACCTTCTTCGAGCAATACAGTCTCGTATATAGTCTCAATGTATTGTCAGTGCATTCCTTAGTTTGAACAGTAAAAGCCATAGACCCAGAAATGGTTTGCGACTGCATTAAAGGCTGTTAGCTTAAGTGTTTTGCATACACTAAGTGGTTTGGCGCAGCACTTACTGAAGCAGTGGACAGGTCTCTAAATAATCAGAGCACCAGCGACCAGATGAAATATATTTGCTTGGTTTGTTGAACCTTTTAAAGGGAAGCTCGGTAGAAATGAGGTATGAAGTATTATTGTATAAGCTTGCCACCAGAAGCAGCAGAGAGTGAGTTTGTAATATCTCTGTCTGCCTGTAAGGCACACTTAACCAGGCCTAAAAAGAGAAAAAATGTTTTGTTTGAAAAGTAAGAACTGGAAAAAAAAAACATTTCTCAATAATTTAGTATTACCGAATTCACCTAATGAAAGATTAAAAGTCGTGATTGTCTTTCCAACTCAAGCAAGTTCTGAAAAACATTATCTCCATAAGCTATTTTGCAAACAAATTAAGTTTCCAAAGTTACCTGAACACAGAATCACGGTTGCTATTTCTTTGTGTTCCATGCTGCAAGTGTGTTTATAGCAACATGTCCACAAAATACCTAAATCATATATAATACCCCGACCTCTTTCTAATATGAGCAATATACCTCAGTTCTGTGCAATAGCCCATATTACTCAAGCCTGAAGTCAGAAGAAGGCGTGGGATAACTGTGGCAACGATTGAGAAACATGGCTGCCCACATATGATCAAGATTCTGATTGGTGCAATTAAGTGTTTTTCCTATTTATGTGCACCTATGGTCAATTAGCATATACCATCCTGGCAGGTATGGTAGGCCTCAGGGTATTATTCAAAACTGGTTTTTAAATATTTTAATGCACAGATGTCAAACATACGGCATTGTGGACCAAAACTAGCCTGCTAGAGCCCGCTTGGTAAATTTTGAAATTAAAAATTAAAAATACACAAACACTTTATTTCAGTATATTTTTCATTAAACATGGTAAATAAATTAACATCTAATATAATTTTTTGAATGAAAAAAAGAGAAAAACATGGACTTATTGTGATTTATATTTTTGAATGAAAACAAAACAGAAAAACATTGACTTATTGTGATTTATAGTTAATTATGTTATTAACTTTGTTATGTATTTTACTTGTCTGGTCCACTTAACATCTAATTAAGTTGTACGTGGCCCGTTAAGCAAAATGTGTGTGACACCCCTGGTTTACTCCAATAGAGACATAGTAACGTCACTCGGTTTCATTCAGATAAATGTATGTTTCTTGGTCATAAAAAACGACTTCACAAAGTAGTTTTCAAAAATAAATGAATAAAAACAGCACACAAATAAGTAAAAGCGAGTAGCAGCAGAGCTAGCTTAAATAATTAGGTGTCACACAAATGTTCTTGAAGTGTTGTTGAATGTGATATAATATAAAATAAACACTAGTACACATCTCCTGATGAGCAGAGCGTTCTGGAGAGAAAAGGCGAATAAAAACGGACTCTAAACAGTCAACTTCGACGAGCACGCGCCTACCTTGTTGTTAGACTCCGACACGCCTTACTTTTGCCCGACACAGTTATCGGCGCTTTCCCTTTAACGCGAGGCAGGTCTGGGAGCGCGCACGGGGCGCGGCGGGCGGGCGGATACAAGTCTCCTGTTTGCATTTTAATGTCAACGTTATCGCTCTTCTCAGTTGTGCCTAATAACGGTAATATGAAAGGATGGAACACCAGACACCTAGACCATGTCGGGATGAGACGACACTCTCGGGCAGATGTATTCTAGAGACACACCAGAGACACGAGGGAGTGGACTCGCGACCTCTTGATGCCTTTTTAGAGAGGACAGACGAATTTGGGGTGAATCCTTGCATGGCATTGCTTGACATTTTGCTCTCAGGCATGATGTTACACGGTTCGGTTTAGTGCAGAGGGTCCGGTGAAGTTCATGGTTTAGTTCGCCGTCATGACTGCTTCTCCGAAACAACTTGTTGTCATTGTATCCGTGCATGAACGTCTCCGCGCATGAACTTGCACTGCCGGCTTAGAAGAAGAAAACAAGGTCAATATTAGAAGTTTTGCTAAAGTGCTGTTTTTACTGAGTGGCTCGTGGACACCAGCTTTACAAGTTTTGCTGTTTTACTGAGTGGCTCGTGGACACCAGCTTTCATTTCTAAACCTATTACTGTTGTGGTTATAATGATAAGGCTGGACTTACTTTAAGTAAAAACCCAACCCTAAAAGACTTAAAAGTGACCGCATCCGGATGTACAGTATTAAAGGTAATATAATGATGTTTTCTTTTGAGACGTCTTCCTGAATTGTGGCGTTAGCACTAAGGTGATGCCTCAGCTCTTATCAGTAGACTTGTCATCTTTACCCCGAGGGTTGCGTTTAGAACTGACAGCACGTTTGTGCCCTTGTGGTCTTTTAACTTAAAGGCAAGCAAGTTTTTAATCTGTCTTAAGATAACATGGCGGACATATTGTGTATGTATTCTAGTCTTTTTGAATGAGTACTGAAGCATGACAGAAAATGAACCTCAAAATGAACAACAATATTATAAATAATAATAATAATATTACATGCATTGTAGCATATATAGTTTTAATAATTAGTTATACTTATAATAATATCTTAATTATTATAGTTATTGTTAAATAGTAACGCATAATAAAATATATAATTGCAATAAATAACGAGGGTATCCTGTGTGAGTATCCATTATCTATATGGGCAGGTTACATAAATTTGGCAATTTGATGGCACAGTTCCTGTTGTTGTCTGTTGCTGATGACCAAATATGGAAAAAATCTTTTATATTATTTTCAATACAACGATAAGATACGTCTCAAAATATTGTGTAAAATGCCTATCAAAATCAGGTTGATCATAATTTCCTCCATTTGCCCCACCCTCGTGCTGATAAAGGAGCCATGTGATGCGTGACTTGATGGAGAATCGCAGATTACGTCACAAACTGAAAGTGAAAAGTAATTTCAGCGATGATACAGTGCACTTACATAATCCGATTTGTTTGTTGTAACTGCATCTTGTAAGAGCCCATAAAGTGTTGCTGGCGCACGTATTGATCGCATACTTCGCTCAAATGAGAGAGTACTCATAACCCAATAACCCTAGACACGATGGAGCCAATAGGTTCAAGTGCTCCAGCAACGTCTGCCTGTAAGCCTCAGATGCCATCATTAGGGCAGGTTTATTTTTCAAACAGAAAATATAAAACAGTGTTGCTGGGAAGTTTCGATACTTCACATCTGTAAAGCTGGTAATATATCACTTTTATGTGTAAAGTATGGCTATAAATATAAAAGATTTAATCTTATTAATCACAGGCTGTGGATTAATCATAATTAATCATGATTGTAATAAGGCTTGATTAAATACAATAATACCAAGACACATCTGCATTCCTAAATAACTTATGACAAAAAACTTTTTTTCCTGTATATTGCTGGAACATAGAGATAAACGACAGCAGTGAGATGTACCATATTTTCCGGACTATTAGTAGCACTATTTTCGTTCTTTGGCTGGGTTTGCGACTTATATACTTTTTCCTGTATATTGGTGGAACATAGAGATAAATGACAGCAGTGAGATGTACCATACTTTCCGGACTATTAGTTGCACTATTTTCGTTCTTTGGCTGAGTTTGCGACTTATATATTAAAATATATAATTTCACATGTTCGTTATTTTCACACTGACAGCCACTAGAGGGCACTCTAGGCTTGTGAACCGGTATCTGCAAAGTCGGCTTTTTTCATCCTTTGGCTGGTGCAAATTATACTCCAGAGCGACTTATATTTCGGAAAATACGGTATATGCTAGTACCAGAACTATATGCTAGCTAACTAGAACTATAAAAACATTGTTGTCACAGAAATTCCTCTCCCTGTTTGCTTTTTTTCCCCTTACTGTAGCACCTCAGAAGTCAGTCCATCCACACCTAAACCACACATTTGGGACTTAAGTCATCTGCAAGCTGAAGGTTCGAACTGCTTCCAGAATGACCGTTGCGAACAGCGACCCTTCGGATGAAACAGCAGTTTTTCCTGGACAGCCTCAGGACCATTACGAATCACAGCCAGGTCACGACTGCTGTGAGAGAGTTGTGATCAACATATCAGGCTTGCGCTTTGAGACGCAACTTGAAACACTATCCCAGTTTCCAGAGACACTTCTAGGTAATCCAAAAAAACGGATGAGGTATTTTGATCCCTTGCGAAATGAATATTTTTTCGACCGCAACCGACCAAGTTTTGACGCCATTCTTTACTATTATCAGTCAGGAGGGAGGTTGCGCCGGCCAGTTAACGTGACCCTGGACATTTTTTCGGAGGAAATACGATTTTATGAACTGGGTGAAGAGGCAATGGAAATCTTCAGAGAGGATGAAGGGTTCATAAGGGAAGAGGAGCGCCCTCTGCCAGACAATGAATTTCAAAGACAGGTGTGGCTGCTGTTTGAGTACCCAGAGAGTTCAGGTCCCGCTCGCATTATTGCCATCATCTCTGTCATGGTGATTCTTATCTCTATTGTCAGTTTTTGTCTAGAGACGTTGCCAGTTCGAACTGAAAATCAGGACAAATATGCATCTCAGTCTATGTTTAACGCCACCTCAACCCATGACAGCAGTACACTTTTCACTGACCCCTTTTTCATTGTGGAGACCCTCTGTATTATCTGGTTCTCTTTCGAGTTCCTGGTCAGATTCTTCGCCTGCCCCAGTAAAACTGGATTTTTTGGCAACATCATGAACATCATTGACATTGTAGCAATCATCCCTTACTTTATCACCCTTGGAACCGAGCTGGCAGAGAAGCCGGAGGATGGTCAGGGAGGACAGGCTATGTCTTTAGCAATTCTACGTGTCATTCGTCTCGTCAGGGTTTTCCGTATATTTAAGCTTTCACGCCACTCCAAAGGTCTCCAAATCTTGGGACAAACCCTGAAGGCCAGCATGCGTGAGCTTGGACTCCTTATCTTCTTCCTGTTTATTGGTGTAATCCTCTTCTCCAGTGCCGTCTTTTTTGCTGAGGCAGACGAACCACAGTCCCAGTTTAACAACATCCCCGAGGCTTTTTGGTGGGCCGTGGTTTCAATGACCACTGTAGGTTACGGAGACATGGTCCCAGTGACCATCGGGGGGAAAATTGTCGGCTCTCTCTGCGCAATTGCAGGTGTGCTAACCATTGCTTTACCAGTGCCTGTAATTGTGTCCAACTTTAACTATTTTTACCACAGAGAGACTGAGGGTGAAGAACAGGCGCAGTATCTGAATAGTCCAGTCGTTCCTAAAGTTAGCTCAGATGACGACCTCAAGAAGAGTGGCAGGGACGGTAGTAGATCCACACTCAGCAAATCGGACTATGTTGAGATCCAGGAGGTGGTGAACCATAGCACTGATGACTTCAGAGCAGAGAGTATTAAAAGTGTAAATTTTAGCCTTGGCAACACCAACTACATAAATATTGCAAAGATACGTACAGATGTATAAAGTGAACTCGTGTTTGTGGTTAGCGCTAATAGTAATATCTTCTCTCAGAAAAGGGAAGTGTAAGACCTAATAGCTTATAAACGTATCAAAACATATCTCAGAAGTACCCTGTGTAATATTAAGTGTATGTAGTGTTACCAAAAATAAGTCACGTATAGAGAGACCATATTTTTTCTACTCTACTCTATCTGCTCAAGCTGCCACTGAGTTAGAAACAAGGACAATCATAATTTATGATTTAATTTGAATTCATGATTTAATGAAAAAAAAAAAAATCTGGCCACATTAACAGCATTTACAGGGACCATAAATCAGCTGCTGTAACTGCCAAGATCCAGAATCATTGAAAGATAGAATCGACAATCAGTGCTGTCCTGTGGAAAACGCTAAACTCCTCCACAGACAGATGTTTCACTAATAGATTTGAAGGCACAAGGCACCTCCTCTTTTCATTGAATTCTAGATTTTATCGTATACATCACCTTTACCAAAAGTGTGAATTTGTGTCTGTTGATATCTTACGTTCAGTAGTTTAAAACGAACCAAATCAACCAAACTTAATTTGCACTCCCGTCTGACATTTGTTTATTCTTAAAACACTTAAAAGCACAGTATTGTACTGTATATCGAGAAAGTGTGGATTTCTCAACTTGTTTGACTGTAATCATCAACACTGCCTACCTACTGATACAGTTGCCCCGCGGTCAGTGCTGTTCCTCTCCACTTTTATTGGCATGCCATTATCTTAGAAGTTGATCTGCTGTAGTTATTCTAATGTGCTAAGAAACGAAAAATGAAGCGGACCAAAGAAGTGGTCCACCTCCAACGTGTGACTGGTACTGTGACTGAGCAGGACAGTCATGATGACTAAGCTTGCAAGCCTGTGTGTTGTTTCCTTCTCCAACTGTGTTACATATTTTCTTTTGCCTAAATGAATAACGTAGCCAAACATGACGCATTACATATACATATTTATGTACATATGTATATTGTGGATGATATAAATACTGTTTTGTGATATAACTGCTGTGCACAAGCCGTACACTTTCAGTGAATACAGATTATTCCAAAGCATTCCCTCCTCCATGACTGAAATATATATCAGTGATCATCGGGAACTAGTTGATGTCAACTTGACTTTTACTACATCAGTCTTGACCTAAAAAAATACGCTCAAACAGCAAGTCAAACAGCCCCTAGTAGTTACATGGTATGGTAACATAATAAATATACGTATATACTTCAAGTTTCTCATAATCAGACAATCCAGGTATAGTTAAACCTTGACATGTTTCAATGGCGAGCTCCAGTCTTCCTCAGTATCACTTGACGCTGCTGTGATGTGTCATTATCAGCTGTTTATACAAAGGCATTCATTGAAGTACAAATTCTGCCAATAAATTAACCTACCACTGTGTTCTTGACTATTTGTTGTGTTTTTTATTCTTTCTACACAGATAGATAGATAAATGTGATGCTGTTTTTTTTTTTTTAATAATCATTATCTCTTTCATAAATGTATAGACATTGTGGCTATGAAGCCATTCAATTTTTAAATTCTCTAATAAGTGTAATGTCATCAGTTCAACACCAGGGGACTCAATAATCCTATGAAACAATAAAATCTCATGGTGTCTGTGGCTCATTTTTAAGCCTTACATCTAATTGATGGTAAGTATTGAGACAAACTGTAGGCTAGTTTGACTCATACACATCATAACCAAATAAAAAGCATACTCATATGCTATTTTCGCAGAACAACATTATCTCTATGTATGTCCTCAAAAATGTTAGTGTCATTATTTTGAGGACAAATTATGTTGTTCTTCAAAATAAATTCCACTACCCGGACCATTCACTTCTTCCTGCTACTTTGTCCAGCACATCAAGGGGATTCCCGAGGCAATCCCAGGCTAGCTAAGAAGCATACTCCCTTCAAGGTGATAGGTGTTTTTCCCTGGGTCTCCACCTAGTGGGACATGTTGGGATGATCTCACCATAGAGGCGCCCCCGCAGGCATCCTGGCTGGATGCCTAAGGCTACCTCATCTGGCTTCTTTCGATGTGACCTACTCTGACCTCCGCCTGGATGACCCAACTTTTTTGGTAAGCAGGAAAATTCACAGAGATACTATTAGTTCTTAGGACTTTAGCATCTTCAGGGATGGGGACTTGAGTCATTGTAACACCACCACCAACAACGAATTATTATAAACTAAACAATATTTTTTTCAACTTGAAATTTCATGACTTTTCCTAGATTGACCCCAAAGTGAATTGTTGCCTATATTCATATTTCCATGCAAGCTGTAAAAAAAGGTACAAACATTGTCTTCGGGTCAAAATGACTCGACAGTCCAATTGAGTTGAAATCACAGCCACAGAGTTAGTTACAGACCACAAAATGTGAGAATGTTTTAGTTCTATCTCAGATCAATCTGTAGCAGACGTAAACAAGCCTGTGACCTTGATCTGACCCAAACGTAACAATATTGTCCCTCTGTCTGCCTACTTAAGGCTGCATTCAAAACTCCTTTTCGCACATTTCTATTCTTTCCTAAGCTATAGAAATACTATACAAATACTGCTTACCAACTATACAGTAAACAGTAATTCAATTGACAGTGTCATAGCAACGCGTGGTGTCTTGAATAAATGCAGTCTTTCTGCCAGGTGAGGAGGGAAAACTCAGGTATTCACACAATTTGTGGCGAATGACAAGTTGTTTCTTCAAGCAAAATAAGAGTTGGTGTTTAAAATTCAATTGAGCTGCTTACATTGGGGGTTTAGTGAAATATGAGGACAACAGGAGGGTTAAGGAGGAGGAAAATGGCGTGTCAATGTCAAGACATTTGATAAAGCTACAATGAAAACTCAATTATTATTTTTTCATTAGTATTATTATTTCTATTATTCTATTAGTATCTTTTTAAACACGAGAGGCATGAGACACGAGGCAACAAGAGGCATATTTAGAAACGCTGACTTGAAACCCCTCCGCTCTGTTAAAAAGATCACTTGAGACAAAAAAGTTATTTCATAATAATATTGTCCTCTGTAAAAAACAAAAACAAAACAAAACATGAAATGAACTAATCTACACATTTTGCTTGGATAACAATTATATATAGGCTCATATAGTATGAGCAGGTAAACAGAACAGGATAATATTGACGCTCTGCTGCATTATGTCACAGTCCAGAACCCGGATGTGTAAATAAAAGTGAAAAGGGGCTTTAGACCGCTTAAACAAGTGTTCGGAAACAGCAGAGGTAGTGTAGCGCTATTAATTTAAACAGATATAACTTCCAATAATTAAAAAAAACAAAAAAAAAACAAACTTCAGCCAACCCACCCCCCCTTTTAAAACTGTAAACGTGTGTTTAGGTCATCGCCGTGGAGGCTGAACAGTTTAAATGTCGCTTAAGGATGTGCTGACTCCCCCAAAATGACGGCGAGTTTGTCGTATTGACCAGCAATTCAGTGTTTACGTCTCTCTGCCGAGGATGAACGTCTTCCTGATGTTGAAGCCCAGCGGTCACAGTGAGAAGTATGGGGTTGTGGCAGAGGCAGAGGCAGAGGCAGAGAGAAACTGACACGTGGATCTTTTACATCCCATCAGGCATCAGGAAACACAAGCAACTGCCACAGATAACTCATTTACGCCACGCACATACTCATACCTGACTCGGTTATGGAGTGATACGGAGGGGAAACTCGCATAGAACGTATTTGACATACTTCAAGTATATCTTTTTTTTGCTTTTGGACAGTAAAAGACGAACTCCGGGACTCAAGGAAGAGACAAAACGCGAAAACATCGCAAGAAGGGGAGCGGCCTTTACGTTGAATGGCAGTATTTCAAAAATATGACAAGAACCACGGTCCAGAGTTGGTCTGTAACAAGGAGAACAGTCCGCATGACAATGTCGGAGCTGACGGATGTCACAAGAAGGGGCACGAACAAAACAAAAACTGGTCCAGGTAGTTTGTTTGTAAACCCTCGCGATGTTTTGAATAATGTTGTTATCTAAATCTACGAAACTAATTCGTAGAACCTAATTGTTCCTTTCGAAGGCTGCATGAGTTTTTTAAGCTGTTTTTTTTTTTTCATCTAGAATTTAGAATTTTAGAATTTTTTTGTACTCTTCAGCCTAAGGGGCTTCTCGTAGCAGAGCTTTACTAAATGCTAATGAAAAAGGCTAATTTATCCTACAGCTATAATGTAAAGTATAATTTATGGTTCCATACTGTTTTTACTAACTGTGTGGTTCTGGAGTTCTATGTAACAAGAATAGCTTTTTTAAATGCCATATTAAAAAAAAAAAAAATCTCCCGCTGCATAGTCTATGACGTGGAACACACTAAATGACGTTGTCACAACAGTGAGAGCCTGCCGCGGTCAAACTCCTTACGGACAAACGCAGCAAAAAATCCCATACATCATTTGCTTCTATTTTATATTTTTCTCTCTCCACCACTGTTTGAACTTTGCAAAGCTGACGTCATGTTCAGTGGAAGACTTGAGACTCAAAATTGTAACGGTAGAGTAGTCGAGAAAGCTGTTTCTGACCTACTACTGAATCAGCTTTCGTGGGCAAGTGTGACTGAAAATACATGGAATTTGACTATGTTCCCTTGTTTATTCTCATTGTGCTTTCGTTGACAGTAGAAAATAGAAGAGCAAGTGGAAGAATTATGGATACAAACACCAATACTACTAAATGCAATTCATAAAACTATTTGACTTGTTACTCTACGTACATTTAGATCTTAACACCTTCTCACTAACACTGGAGATGACTTTATCACCAAGTCACACAGCTTCTTAGCTTCACTCAAGGACTGAAATTGAGTCGAGTATTATTTACTTTTTTGGGGGTAAAAAAAAGTCAGATTGAACTTGAGCAAAAACATTTGCAAAAGAAAATTTTCAATTCAAAACTTAGAGTTCGATATGTTTCTCGGACTTTAGAAATCCGAATCCAGAATCAAATAATAAATATTTTTCTTATAACACTTATGTTTTTATACATTACATATCACATTTTGTTTACTGTTTGACTCCTGGGTGTCCCTAGAACAAAGTTGTCTACCCATGAGGGAATTGTAGTCCTATTTAGAAATGGACATCTTGCTTGTTTGACCAGAATTAAATAATTATCCTCTGTCTTTCCGCATAGGCCAATCGGGAGAATATGGACATTGGTTCTACTGCTTGGGACATGCCTTCTGTACTGTACCCGAGTGGCAATGCCCATCTGTGCTGTCAGCATGGCCAAGCAGTTTTCCTGGACGAAGACAGAATCGGGCATGGTGCTAGGCAGTTTTTTCTGGGGCTACTGCTTCACCCAAGTGTTGGGAGGTTATGTCAGTGACAGGTAAGGCACATGATAGACAACACAGAGTAATGTTTCATGCTATTGTCAAATGGAAGTGTCCTATAACAGAGGTTTTGTAAAAAACAACACTGATAGTTTAGGATATATAATGTATAAAGAAAACACGCTTTTTGACCCCAATCGTCTAACACACTGTACTGTTGTACACAGATCAATTGTGTTTAAGGAAATGTACCTATCCACACATGAAAAGAGTGAAAAATTAAAGATAAAAAATTTTGAAATTAGGGATATAAACATTAAAGAAAATTGAAAATTTGCCAGTTGCGCAAAAGATTAAAGGGTCATCAAAAAAAATGATACACAAAATAATCAAATAAATATATTACAAAGGAATACAAATCGGGATGTCTCAATGTTAACTTTTTGCTGACATTGGATATGCCAATATTGTCCAACTTAATATCTGATTCCAAAATCTACTGATACCGATATATGCAGCCGCTTTCCCCCAAAACTATTTTTAGGTCACATCACATACAGTATCTCTTGTCGCAGAATTAACACATTACCTCCTTTTATTGTGATGCGCCACTAGAGGCATTCCAAATGGCATGTTTGCAAAAAAAGAGGGTGCAGGAAATGGAATAATGTAATTAGGTGTAAGAAGTAATGTGTGACAAAGTTCTGTATGGTACGCTGATATACCTCTCCGTTCCTTAGCTAAGAATTGTTTTAACTTGGTGTTGGTATGTTTTCTTTGGAAGTCTATGCAAATCCTCGCTGTCAAGGTTGGTATTGGCTGG